AGCCATGGGTATGGGTAATATACCCTATAGAAATCGTCAAGTTTGATTAACAACTGCAGGAGAACCATACGAGACCATTTTTTCCGTGCAAACGGTACAAATGGCTTGCAATTCACTCATATACGTGCAGTAATTCCACAATAAGACACGAAAAAGTGATCTTTTTCTTTGAAAGGGTATATGGTTAGATGCTCCAGGTTCTGCTGAGTATTTTTATATAAAATTCTGCAAGTTTTACTCAACTCCACCAGCCAAAGAAACTTTTTTTATCAACTGCGTTGCAAATCTTCAGGCATTTGTCTGGACGTGTTCTGAATGGGAACGCAGCACATACGTTATGTTCTAGTTTGGAACAGACAAGAGAAAAAAAATTCCGAAAAGCTTTCATTCTCATTAATAAAAGACAATCTTAAATATTTGTAACTTACACAGATCGATAGATCTCATTCTCCTCTGCTGATGCTGGGAAAAGTAAAAATTTTCTCCCAACGTTTAGAAATGGCTTCAAAGCAAAATTTTTCGTGTCGTAATGCGGTCAACGACCGCATCAGCTCTACCATGACAAAATCTAAAAGCTTCTGGTTTCAGAAAACGAATGGACTCAAAATTTTGAGATATTGCTTCGAAATTATTAGACTATCATTTTTAAAACTACACAAGTTTCAGATTTTCATTTACCACAGTTCGGGAGCCATAGGCATTTTTCCGAACTATATCTACATTGCAAATAATTTTACGTCTAGTTTTTCTACTGCGATAATGAAACTTACAACTACTGTAACAACAGGAAATGTGCTGTAAGAAAGTAAACGACAAAATATTCTCGTTTCTGTTATATGATTATCAATATTTACTTGAATGCCGATATTGCTATTGTTGAAACTAATTCGTAACGAAGGGAAGAATAAGAAGTGAAAATATTCCTTAGTGCATTTGATTTTTTTCTACATAGAAGTTGATAAAATATTGTTCAGATTATATTCCGCTTCTAACTTTTAGAAAGTAACAGCCACATCACCGTTACTTTAACAGTATGTTTCTTATGTTTTATATTAACCTTGATCTCTTGTGTTTCATTGCTCTGATGTCTTTTCCTGTATGAGTAACTAAGGTTTTTTCTCCATCGTGCACAGACATTTTTAGCTGTATAACATTTGCTGTATAACCTTTGCCAAGGAAAAGAGAAACAGGCTAATAGAGCGTCTACTTAGTTGGGGAAAATAACCGTGACTTTTGTTTTTGATATACCTCCTTCACTACTAATTCTAGTAATAACTCTCAGTGAATGCTGATTACCCATCGAATTCAAGTTCTACTTTTCTTTAAGATAATTTCGAAGATCTTTTGAACGTTTCGACATCATTGAATAATTCAAAAATTCGGTCAGTTCGCGTAGGTTTGGCTGTATATTTATGCAAAATGATATTGGGTCTTAGTAATACCGTTCTTGTTACTATGTTTCATTTAAAGAATAAACGGACAGTCTCATAAATAACCCATCGAGTTTGTGAAGTATTGACAATTAATTTTGTACAGGATACTATTGGTTTTCGTCATACTGACCGTCGAACAGTTGTTGAACAACATACAACGCAGATTTGTAAAGAAATAATAGTAAATACAAAAGATCAACAATTTGTCATCATGGATGGTATATATATTTACTGTCAAAAACCTGGAAACAACAAAGCACAAAAAGCAATATACATTAACCATAAAACCGACACTTAGTGACACCAATGCTTAAACAATTACTAGTTGAGTTTCCTACAACACTTGATGATACAAAAACGTTTGATTTTGGTGACTGTATGAGTATATCATCAATAAGTGTACTCCAATTATTAGAAAAAGATAATAATTCCGCTGGTACATACGTTTATCTTGTTCTATTACATTTATTAATACGTTCATTTGTCAATAAATCAATTATCATAGCGGATCGTGTACATTTTTCGTGGGTGGTGGTTTTTTTGTTCGATTTTGGAAACATTGGTTGGCTTGAATTAAGAATAAATCAATTAAATCGTCATTTATAACCCCATCCGCGTACTATTCAAT